TTGCATCTGCAGTGTGTGTTTTCCTAAGTGTTTGGGAAACTCTAGTTTTCCAGTGACCATTGTCTTGGCAGTCTGTTTCATTGTTAAAACACTATGTGCATTAAGACAATACATAAAGACAGGGGATGTGGTGAGAAAGGACATGGAAATGGCTGAAGCACTCAATATCTTCTTTTCCACAGTCTTTACTTGTAGACTGGCCTTCAGGAATCCCAGGGCCCTGAGACCAGTGGAGAAGTCTGGAAGACTTACCTTTGGTAGAGGAAGATCAGGTTAGGGAGGATTTAAACAAACTGGACATACACATCTGTGGGACCTGATAGGATGCACCCAGAAGTGCTGAGGGAGCTGGCCAATGCCATTGCAAGTCTTCTCTTGATGACCTTCAAAAGGTCTTGGAGATGGGGGAGGTTCCTGAGGACTGTAAGAAAGCTATTGTCACTTCTTCAAGAAGGGCAAGAAGGAGGATTCGGTGAACTAAAGGCTGGTCAGCCCCACTTTGAACCCTGGGAAGGTAATGGAGCAAATAATCCTGGAAATCCTTTCCAAACATATGAAGGACAAGAAAGTGATTGGCAGTAGGCAGCATGGATTTATGAAAAGGAAATCATGTTTATTGTAACATAACACAACACCTTTCAACATAAAGTGAAAACTGTAATTTTTGGCACCTCATTTCAACTTTGTTTCCTATTTATTTCCATCATGTTGGTCAGAAACTGGTTTTAGTTATAGATTTGAGTACTTATCACTGAGCAGTTGTTTGTCATGCATGCTTTTCTGTCAACAGCTCACCCATGGAAATTATTATCTCTGTGGTCTTTTCATTTAAAAGTCTGGTTTTGAGGTCAGTTGATAGTATCTGAGGAATCCTGAACATTGACATTGTTTCAAAAAGGTTCTGAAATGTCTCTTGTGAAGTCATCAAACCAACCACTTGTGTCCTTATGTCCCATTAGTAACATTTTTTTATTAAATATCTTTATGTTTTCTCTCCATGCCAAGTAATTAAATCTGGGAGAAACTCTCCGATCTCCCTTTACAGTTTTAGTGGGGATGCCACCATACCTGCAATACGGTTGCATGTGGTAATGCACCTGGTGTGTTGTGACGTTTGCCATTTGGACTATCAGAATTGCTTTGTTTCAGTCTTGTTCTTTCCTTGTTTCCTTTTGTCATTATGGAGTGTGAAGGAACTATGTGTATTAGTTTTTTAGCATTTTGTATGCATTTCAGCTAATCTGTCTGAAATTCCCCTCTCTGGATATGTACCATTACACAAATACAATCTGAAAGAACGAAACAAATAAATGAGGCAGTGTCAAAGATAACAGCAGTTACAGAGGGGTTGAGTTATGATGCCACAGTTGTGTGGGAAGTAGCTACTTCTCTGTCTGCATCTTGACAAGAATGGTGCCTACTTCTCAAAGTGAAAAGCCTTAAACTATTAGGATCCGTTGTCTCCAGATGTAGGAAAAAGGTGGAGTTGAGCGATTTGTAAGGGACTGCCTTAACACCATCAGACAGAGAGGCAAGGAGGGAGAGGTCACTTTTTGCAGGAAACAGCATGGAACAGGGATGCCAAAACATATCTGCCAGCGGGCTTAAGGGGAATGCAGTGTAAGATGCTGCTGCTGGTTTACATCTGTTTTGCTAGGAGATTTAAAAAAAGTTGGGGAATAATTCAAAGCATTTCAACCTACTTAGATCTGCAGGGTTAACAGTGTGAGCAGTTTTTGGTCCAGAGAGTAGCTTGAGGAATGATCAGTTGCAGGTTTTTAATCCAAAGAAGGTCACAAAGAGGATGCTTTAGTAGGGAAGTGGACACTGAAGGCACAAATGAAGAAGGGGTAGAGGAAGAGGTAACCAGAGGCAGTGTAAGAGGTACAGTGTAAACTAGAGTGTCTGTGCGTGACTGTATGTGTATCTGTGTTTTTATGTATGACTACTGTGGCTAGCGTGTTAGGAACACAGTCTCCATGCTGCGTGCTGAATGTGAATTCAGTAGAATTCGCTAGGGCTCGCCATTCCCCCATTAGCATCAACCAGTAAAACGTGCATACTTCTGCCACAGGACATAATCATAAAAGGATGTAGTATAGCCTCCCAATTTAGATCAGAACAGTGGCTGCTCAGAGTGGGCGCTGTTATGAGACAAAGCTTTCCAAGTAAGAGGGCACTCATTTCTGCACTGTTTTATTGAGTGCTGAGGTCATAAGTAGGTCGCTTTACTTTCAATGTTATTCCAATATGACAGGTTTTGCAATGAAAAGCTTGAATAATATTCATGGTAAATCTGCTAATTTCCAGTTTTTATTAGTAAACTAATGCCTGAAAAAAGAAAAAAAAAGCCTTTTTCCAACTACATGGACAATGTTTTCTTTTGGATATAGTGTGCATTGGTACTATTAATGCACTTATGTATTAAGCTCTTCACTTTCATAAGATTTACAATTTGTATTTAATAAAACACTGTTTTATAACATATTTTTAGATTTTCTTAGGAGAATATTTGACTTGTTTTTAAACAAAGCAGTAGTAAAGGGGAAGGGGAGGAGCAAGATGTTTTTGTTAGAAAATATACAAGTTGAAAAAAGCTGGCCAGCTATATGCTTGACTGGTTACTGAAATGCTGGAAGAAATGTTACTAAGTATGGAATAACATAATTTTTTCTCTATACACAGAAAAAGCCCAAGGAAATATCATTTGTCATAAGACCTATGCTACATAATCTGAAATGCCACTTTACTGCTAAGAGCAAAAGGATAAAAAAAAAAAAACAAACAAAAAGCACACAAAACCACCGAGAGCCTAAAGAAAGTAGGGTTAACAATTCAAATTAAATTAGCTTTTTACTGAAAAAAAAAAAAGGAGGGAAGTGGAAAAAAAATCTTCAGTTTATTTAATAATTACAGTTCAAAGAGAAAAAAAATCAGTGCACAGACAGAAGATTGTGCACATTAATGTTCCACTTTTATTTTGTTCCTTATCTCTACAGAAAGTTATGATTATTTATAAAATATGACACTGGAATCATAAAAATTCAGTTACTGCCTTTCTTTGCCTGCAGATCTGAATCCTGGTTCCTCATCCAAGACTGCAAAAAACAGCTTAGCACAGGGGACTCCCACAAGACGCAGAAAGGGAAAGGGGAGATTAGCCTTCTCTCTTTCCAAAACCGAGGATCACGCAACGATGTCCGTTTGCATCACTGCAACAGTGACAGACCCGTGATGATGTGTGCTTACTCCTTGCTTTCTGAATGACGTGTTTTGCTGAGGGCTTGGAACAGCCACAGACTCCGTGAGCCGGAAGCTGGACCTCAGACAGCTCCTTGAGGCAGCAGAAACAAAGCCCCTGCTTAGCTGAGCTGAAGCAGGATTCATGGACTTTGTGCTAAGACTCAGATTGTCCTGCTTTCCATGGTGCAAACACTGTGTATTGGCCTTTCTGCAGGCATGGAGAGAGAAAGAGATTCAACTTTCTCAAGCCTGGAGTAGACTAGAGAGAGGCAGCCACATAAGCAATGGTTGTGTTTGTCTCAAAGGAACAGGCAGGATCTTTTATTTCTGCCTTATTTTTAGTAGTTATGTGCATTTCTGTGACAGGCAAATGGAGATATTTTGTGAATCGGAGCTGAACGCATAGCTTTAGAGTGAAAAAACAGATCAAACCCTCTATGGTTTCTTGACCACCACTGAAAAAAACCCAAAACAATAAAATTCTATCTAACAGAGGTTTAGTTAGTATTTCCACTGGGCAGTTAATGTGAATTGCTTCTGTTATGACCCGTCTGCAGGGTCTTCAGGAAGATAAGGTCCATGTTTAAACCAGACAGTACAGTGGTCCTCACTGGAGCTTCATGTATTTCAGAATAATGAAATGGCACTCAGAGTGAAACTGATCCTTTTTACCTTCTTAAAGAGAAAGCAGACGAATGTATGAAGGCAAAGTAAGTGAGCTTCAGTGTCAATCAGACTGAGGTTGGAACAAGAGGAGAACACCACACCTTTTTTGCCAGCTATGACATCAGCACTTCAGATTATGCCTCTGGTAGACCTCGCAGTTGGCTATGACTCATAAATCCATAATAGTTCAGGACTTGCTAGTGTAGGGGCTGTTTTTCTCCATGTGTGGACCTTACAGTTGATTGTGACTCATAAATCCATGAGAGTTCAGGACATGATAGCTGAGGGGTTTGTTTTCTTCTTGTGTTGTACTCTACCCTTTGCACATATTAGAGATATTTCCAACCAGTACGTCCTTGTTTTGTAAGGAAGGAAATTAGTGGCAGGCTGGTCAGAAGTGTGCTGCAGCCGACCTGAATTCCTAATATCTGGGTGTCTTTGAATTTAAAACCATAAGGAATCTTTAGACTTCAAAGTTCACTTTCCAGCTCTTGGCCTGAAATAGTTAATTCCTTAAACTACAGCTCATGTTACAAAGCTGATTTGCAGGCATTTGATGTTGCTTTGAGAGTGTGCTTTGAGCATGGAGAGACTTCTGTTTTTGTAAGAATTTTTGAGGTTTCCTTGTTGTTCTGTTGTTTCTTCTTTATGGCAGAGCAGCTAAGAGATGAGGATAAGTATCTTTTATAGTGTTCTATCTGAAATATATAAATACTGAAACAGAGGTCTAGTGTCAGTACTGAGCATTAAAAGAAAAAAGAATCTGTGGAAGGTATAGTACTTTTATTTTCCCCCTAAAGTGCTTTACCGCTCTCCTAAAACAGGCTATGAAAAAACTGTAATTAGCCAGTCAAAATATATGGAGTCAGATTACTAATGAAATGCTCATTTGGGAC